AATTTCGCTATTTTCTTCAAAATTAAGTGATGTAATTGAATCTTTACAATTCTTAAATACAGATTCATAATAATTTTGAGTGTTTATTCCAGTGACATTTTGAGGAATAAGAATTTCGCCGCTGAAATCTGATGAACATCCAATAACAACTGTTTTTGAATCATCACTATACAAAAGAGACCCAACACTAATACTTTGATGAATAAAAAGAATTAACATTCTGGAATTTTATTAAATCTTGATTAATTTCAAAAATATCTGGATTTTGTGTAATGTTTTTATATATAGTTGAAAATGAATAAAAATTAAAAGTTTTCCGAATAAAGAATTAAAATTTTGAGTAAATTTGAAATTTATTAGAGTAATTTTACATATTCTAGACGAGCTTTGTTTTAATTTATTTATTTTGGAGCTTAAATCGAATTAATGAAGACATAAGATGTTGATTGAATTAATATGAATTGATTTTTCGTTGATTTATCGAGTTATCAGAGGTCTAACAATATATTTTCATCACCCACTAAAATTGTATCTGTATAATAAAGGTACAAAAATCTTTCTCATCACTTAAAGCTAACCTCATATTCAAATTGGTCAATTCTTTCAAAATTTGAATGTTGTATTTGACAAATTGAGGAATTCTCAAAATCTTCCGACAGTCTCCGAAATCTTTCATTTTCATTCATCTAGTGTACAGTTACTATAATAAATAGAAAATGATAGGTAGTAGTGTAATATTTTATGATAAATTTTATGAAATGAAAAATAATTCCAAAAGCACAATGATCGTTTTGTAATTCAATTAAAATGAAATAAGTATTACATTTGGTATTAATGGTTTCTAAAATTAAAAACTTTATTTAAGGTCAATTTAAATATTGTGTTTTATGGCTTTACAATCATTCTTTTGTCCATCACATATTTTATTTTTGCATAATTTCATCAAGAGTAGGAGGATTGACTAATTTCTTCTACAAAATTTAGAATTTAACTGTTTTCTCTACATAACTCTATCTAGTTTAGATATCAGGACTATTTGAGCATAGGATGTAAGGGTTTCGTTTTGCGAAAAAAACGTACAATACGCAATTTCGCCAAAAAAACATTTAGCTTGCAATTTCGACCCTTGACTCCACTGAGGACGTCACTTTTTTGATATTGCGATGTGATATTTTTGGAAAATCTTTATGAATATCGTATATAGAGTCTCTTTAATATCTATATTTCATATTTTTATTGATTTTTAAAGTTTTGGCTAAAAGTATTCAATTATTTTTGCTATTTGGCCGGGGAAATGGCAGATTTGCGACATTTTCTGATATGATATTCATATTCTACTCTGATAATAATGCTTATAAAACCCTCTTGCTATTGTGTCAAAATTGCGAAACCGATAGCAAAAATATCTCGCAATATCAAAAATGAGACATTTGGGAATTATGCATTATACAGATTGAAAATATGATTTTTTGAAAACATATCATCATTTTATAGCTAAATCGAAAGTAATTAATATCATATTAGATTAAAATGAAAAAGGAATAGTATCGTTATGCTTTAAGTGGCAGTTTTATAATATAATCATAATTTTAGCTCATATACAACACCTTTTCGCAATATATGGTTAGCAACCTAAATTCTGATTGTTTTGAATTCATATATCGTACGTTTTCTATAATTACATCGCTATTCATCACCATTTCTATCTTTATCATTATTGTTTGTATCTAATAATTTCTCAAAAAACATTAATACTTAATATTTGTAATATCATACTTTATAACGTAAATAAGAACATTACCTATTATGAAAAACAATAATTAAAGAAAAATATGGTAAGCTTTTATAAATGTAATTTTTAATATCTTATATTCAGAACATATAACTAGTAAATAAAGTACTTATTTTATACAATACAACTGTAGGGCATAACACATCAAATGCTCAAATCTATTTTATTTTTTAATAATATATCAATCAAAGCAAATTTACATTGTTTTGTTAGATATACTTTATTCGCATCGAAATTGGCCGTTTCTTTACAAAAGAGCTATTTTTTCGTGATAAATAAAATTTTTTATTCAAAAATAACAAAAATAACAATATAAAATAACTTCATACTGAACCAGGTCTAATGTAATTGTACCGGAATCTATCTTTCACTAAAGAGGAGCTAATTTCAAAATCATTATTGCATTACAAAGCCGATCGCCTGTTCTTGCCTAAGTCCTGTTAAAAGATCTCTTAAGTCCTTGAAATCTCTTTCACACATTGCTTCTGAAGCTGATATTGATGCGTATTTTTTGATCAAACTTGATTAAAAGGGTAACATCGATCTCATCTGTTCCAATAGAAGAGAAATCCCTTCCATGTAGTCCCAAAGCATTTAATATCGTAAATTGGATGATTTGGATTGAATTGTCCAGTTAGCCATTTGTCGACAATATAATTAATTTGTTGCCTTTCTTCTTGTGTTTTATTATTGAATACTGCAATGTCTTCAATAAATTGATAAATTTCATTATTATCAATTTTGGGAAACTCAATAATATCATAGTTGAGCTCTGCTTCTGGAAAGAATACTTGATTGAGACTACTATTCTTTGCTTGCCTTGATTGCTCAATATGTCTCTTCTGCATCCTCATGCAGGATCATTTCTGTTTGAACAGAATCTGAGCCGGTGTTGAGAATTGCAGGCTCTGGCATAACTTCTGTTTCTGCAATAAACTGTCTCTCTGCTTCATAATTGACATCAACATTATTTGGGAGGTCAGTATCATCTTCAAAACGATGGCTTTGATAGCGTACAAATTGGGCTGCTTGGTCGGCTAAACCGTCATTTCTGGCAGATTGTCCGGCCAAACTTTCGTTACTGGACGATTGTCCGGCCAAACTCGTATTACTGGACGATTGTCCGGCCAAATTATTATCGTTGACCGCGAGTGAGTAAACATTAATTTTGGCAAAGCTGCTCTGATTGTAATGAGGAACACCAGTAGTTTTGGAAATTACATCTGTAAATTTTCTTTTGAGTTCTGCTGATGTTAAATTCTTGATTTTTTGATGATTAAGGATTGCATTAGCTTTTTTCAAACAATCTTGCTCACAATGCATAAGATTGTATTTTGTCTTGATTAATTCGAGTGCTTCACGCTTTTGACTGTTCTTCATTCTGTGAAACTCACGTCCAATATATGTGAATACAAAAAGCGCATATTGAATGTAACCATGTTTTGTTTGATACATCCTCTGATCCATCTGAGTTTTGAGGATATCATAGAACGGCTGCAAATCTTGATGCATTACTTCCTGTGTCGATATTAAGGCGGAAAGTGTATATGGGAATACTTGAGCGATCGTAATATTATCGCTTTCGAGTTTCTGTGAAAGAAGCTTGAAGGCTGTTAAGAAGGATACGAGAGAAGGAGCGTAAACAAAAAGCACTTTCACGATTCCTTCAATGTGTTCGTGAATTTCTGGAACTTCACGAACATCTGCAGAAACAAGGAAATCGACGATTGATTCGACATGGAAGACTATCCAAGATGCAATGTCATACAAATTTGTCCAACGAGTTCAACAAACTGTTGGGCATCCACCTCCAAGTCGTGATGCAACAGGCATGCTCGAGAAGATTTTTGAAAACAATTCGACATTTTGGCAAAATTTGTCGAATTTTGGACAGAGTTTTCTTGCATCATTAAGACAAAGGTGAAATGTATGACATCCACATGGAATGGCAAGATGTTCTGGTGCATTTTCAAGGACTGATGCAAGTGCAGACCATTGGACTCTGAGATTGTCTGCTACGAAACCAGCAACATCAATCTGGTAAAATCTTTTGAGAAAATCTGTGATGTGTGAAAGCGCATGTTCATACGCCACTTTAGTACCTGTAAAATTCGGGAATGTCTCTAATGGCATTGGCTTGAGCTGAGATGTTGCGCACATGATTGAACTCGTAAGATATGATCTTTTACCGAGCTTTCCGGCATCGATCGCAACACCCACTGATTCTTCCTTTTTAAACTCCTTTAGCCAAAGATCTTTGTGCATTTTGGCCACACAAATAAAACGTTCTTGGAAGGAAGTACGTCTTGGGATGTGACTGTCCAAAACCGCGCTCATATTACTAGTTCCTATATGTTTACGTCCAAGGTGCATTGCCATAATTAGAACATTACGGAACAATTGATCATCCACCAAATCCATTGGTAAACTCCTTGAGGCAAAGAGGTACATAATTGCCAGTTCCATTGTATTTAAATCTTTTATACTTTTATCACAATCTTTTAAATCTTCAAAATATGCTTTGACATCCGGATCAATCTGGGGATTTTGACCTTGCTGGCCTTGATTTTGTTGTGTTTGATCTTGATGGTCATCTTGATTCTGGTTTTGGACATCTGTACGCCTTGTTACATCGTAAAGTGTAGGTTGGCCAAAATAATGCTTCAGGATCTACTGTAGGCACTTTCTGAAGATGATATTTTGCGATATAGAAATCGCACTGGATGTCATTTTTAAAATGATTACACTGTAAATATGCATGATTTGATTCATCGTAACAGTTAACAAAACCTTCAGGTGGTGGCTCTCGAGAGTCCGCCAAGGTAAGTTTCTTATATTTCTTATGGAGATATTTCACAAGTGGTCTTTTTGTCATTAATCAAAGTAAATGAACGACCAAGGTATTCAAAAAGTGGCCGAAAAGAGAGGAGAGAAAGAAAAGTAAAAAAGGAGTAAAAGAAATGACGATATCTCCACGTCTGATCGGTATTTTTCGATTCTGACTGCAGAAATCGATTTTTTAGGGGATGTAGATTTTATTTATCACGAAATAAATAGATAAATTGATAATAATGAAATTTATCAATTTATTGAAGACATTGCAGTATTCAATAATAAAACACAAGAAGAAAGGCAACAAATTAATTATATTGTCGACAAATGGCTAACTGGACAATTCAATCCAAATCATCCAATTTACGATATTAAAATGCTTTGGGACTACATGGAAGGGATTTCTCTTTCTATTGGAACAGATGAGATCGATGTTACCCTTTTATCAAGTTTGATCAAAAAATACGCATCAATATCAGCTTCAGAAGCAATGTGTGAAAGAGATTTCAAGGACTTAAGAGATCTTTTAACAGGACTTAGGGCAAGAACAGGCGATCGGCTTTGTAATGCAATAATGATTTTGAAATTAGCTCCTCTTTTAGTGAAAGATAGATTCCGGTACAATTACATTAGACCTGGTTCAGTATGAAGTTATTTTATATTGTTATTTTTGTTATTTTTGAATAAAAAATTTTATTTATCACGAAAAAATAGCTCTTTTGTAAAGAAACGCGCCAATTTCGATGCGAATAAAGTATATCTAACAAAACAATGTAAATTTGCTTTGATTGATATATTATATAAAAATAAAATAGATTTGAGCATTTGATGTGTTATGCCCTACGTTTATGTATAAAATAAGTACTTTATTTACTAGTTATATGTTCTGAATATAAGATATTAAAATTACATTTATAAAAGCTTACCATATTTTTCTTTAATTATTGTTTTTCATAATAGGTAATGTTCTTATTTACGTTATAAAGTATGATATTTACAAATATTAAGTATTAATGTTTTTGAGAAATTATTAGATACAAACAATAATGATAAAGATAGAAATGGTGATGAATAGCGATGTAATTATAGAAAACGTAAGATATATGAATTCAAAACAATCAGAATTTAGGTTGCTAACCATATATTGCGAAAAGGTGTTGTATATTGAGCTAAAATTATGATTATATTATAAAACTGCCACTTAAAGCATAACGAAGGTCAGGTAACTGGGGCTTCCAGGCGCGTTGCGCCCTCTAGCCCCGAAGATGTTTAGTATAAATGAAGTTTTTATTCGGAAAATTGTTAGTCTTCTGGTGTGAATTCGGAGGACTCTTCTTGGATAGAGTCTTGTATTTCCTCCTCCATTGCTTCTGGGAAGAAGCCTTCTTCTGGGTCGAAAACATTATATAATGTGTCGCTTTTCACAAATTATATATGTTTTCATGGTTTGTCACTTTTCTATCACTTTTCGGGTAAAAACATTTTTATTATTATATATAAATGAATTTTACAAAACCACCGTTACCGTTCTTTGGAAATAAGAGTAGATGTAAAGATATTATATTGAGAGAACTTAAGAAACTACCGAATGGTCTAACATTTGTAGATTTGTTCGGTGGAAGTTTCTATATATCCCATTTATGTCATACCGTATTTCCTGACTCAAAGATTATATGCAATGACTTCGACAACTATATGGACCGTCTCAAACATATTCCAGACACAAATAATATATTGAAAGAGTTAAAAGAAAAGATACCTATAGGTAAGATGGAACGTATACCATTAGATAAGAAAAATATTGTGAGAGAGGTTTTGAAAAAAGCAGAATATATAGACTGGGATAGTATATCTGCTAGACTATTATATAGTGGTGCTATAAGAGTTCATGACATTGAAACACTTATGTCAAAAGTTTTATATCTTAACTATACAAATGTTTTCAAAGAGGACATAGAAAAATATATTGAGGGTATAGAGTTTGTGAGATGTCATTGGACAGAGTTGTATGAAAAATATAAAGACAAGGAAAATGTTTTCTTTATAGTGGACCCGCCGTTCTATAACACATGGGATTTTCAATACCAAGTAGACTGGACTTTGAGAGACTCTTTAGAAACTTTAGACGTTATACATAACCATCCATGCTTTTACTTTACATCCGATAAAAGTGGTTTGGAAACCGTTATGAGATGGTTAGAAGATATAAACGACTATGAGTTTAGATATGACAAGATAGAATATGAGAGAGGTCCTATAAACCGGAGAAAGTGTCATAACAAAGAAATTTTATTAGTAAGTAAATGTGGTTTGAAATCGGATTGTTAGTTTTAGGTTTTTTCCATTGTGTCATTTATTTATTTGACGTGGCAGAAAAGTACAGAGAATATGAAGATGAACCAATGCCTGCAAATGTTCAGTATATGTACTCGTAAGAGATATTTTTATCTAATATTAAATGGACGCACAGAACTTAGCGAATGCACAGCAACCTGGACAACCAAACCCAGAGAATATTCCAAATGAAGTTAGAATACAAACTGCAATGGCAAACTATGGTCAAGTGCCAACAGATGTACAAATGCAAACTGCAATGTCAAATGACGCTGCGTTAGGTTTGCCACCATGGTATGCAAATATGAGATGGAAAGAGTTTTATACAAACCCTGAGGTGGGATATAAACAACTTTATGCAGATGACGCGAACACAGGAGTTGACCCAGAATATGTTTTCTACCAGAGGAGAAACAGAATGTATGAGCTCCAGTTAAAGAATGCTATGGAACTCAACAGGAAACGTAAGAGACTAGGCGGACATTAGATTTTTACATATAGTAAAATGGGTTTCTTCAGTAAGATAGGAAACTTCTTCAGAAGAGTTGGAAGAGGTATATGGAATGGAATAAAATCTGTCGGAAGAGGAGTATGGAACGGTGTCAAAAATATTGGTAAAAGAGTAGGTCAGTTTGTTGGTATTATACCTAAAGACCCTGAACCAGAAGAACAAGCTCCTGTTATACAACAGCCTGAACCTGCACCACAGTCTAGTTGGCAACCAAATCCAACACCTCAACCGTATTAAAAAATTATATTTTTACCGTTCGATAGTAGTTGTATATGAAACTAAGTTCTAAGTAAAACACATGGTATAATGGAATTATTCTTTTTCTTCCATCTGTAGTAAACCATACTTGAAAGTCTGAAATACTTCCACTTGGTGGTTCGTATAACTTTGTAGGTTTTTCGTAAAAGTCATTTGCCAAGCATAAGAAAGAGTTTTGGGCGCCAGAAAATGAAGCATGAACTATCACAGCATCTTGGTCGAAAACATCTTTAAATAAATATGGTTCATCTCTTGCATATCGACTGTAGATATTTGCTAAAGGAGGTTCAACTTTCTGATTTAACATTCTTTGCAAATAATACCATGACATTGCAGTGAATTCTGTATATATTTGTTCGTCTTTATTTGGATTGTCTTCGTAGATTTGAAATGACACTTGTGAATTTTGCTTGTCATATACAATTCTCACATAAAGTGTGCTATTGGTATTCGCATATTCATCAGCATATTTTGCATAACATGAATTTATTTTATCTTCTATATTTTTTAATGCAGCCTGTAGAGAAGATGAGAGGTCAACTTGTATTAGTTCAATTTCTTCCACATTTTTCGTTTCCCTTCAGATGTATAATCTATATGAAACCTTACAATAAATGGAAAACCTGTTTGAACTTGTGAAACAAACTTCATTCTACGAAAGCCAATAGCTTTTGTGACAGATGGGTCTCTTAACCATCTTAATGGGTAGTCAAAACGATAGCCTTCATTCTTTAGATTGTCTATGTCAACCTTTTGACCGACATTAGTAAAAAGTTCATCTAATGGTTTAGTTGTAGCAACTCTTGAATTTTCTTTTTCTATTGGAAGCATATTTTATCTATAATAAAATGTCAAATGAAACAGCGTCCTATGCGAGAAATACAACACAACCGACAACTCATTATGCAAGCTCTAAATAAGAACACACAAACTTTTCAAACTATTCTAAGATATCTGAGTCATTGAAAGAAGGAAACTTAAAACTGACAATAAACCCAATGACAGATGAGTTTCTGTTTCAAGACAATAAGAACCATACTGTCTGTATAAATCCAACAAAAGGAACTTTAAACGAGAAACCTATAAATGAACTTCTTTTGAAAGCAGATGTTGACAACAAAGCTGACAAAGAATATGTAGACGATGCAATAGCAAAAGAAGAAGAAAGAGCTAACAATGCTTATGCAACAAAAGAACATACTCATCCTGAACTAGCAGACAAAACATATGTTGACAATAAAATGTCAAGTGAAGTGACAAGAGCTGAAAACGAATATTCTAAAAAGACTCATATACATTCTATATCTGATATTACAAACTTACAAGAAACCTTAAACAGGAAAAGTGCCGTTGGACATACACATACCATTGCAAATATTACAAACTTACAAGAAACCTTAAACATGAAAAGTGCCGTTGGACATACACATACCATTGCAAATATTACAAACTTACAAGAAACCTTAAACATGAAAAGTGCCGTTGACATACACATACCATTGCAAATATTACAAACTTACAAGAAACCTTAAACATGAAAAGTGCCGTTGGACATACACATACATCTTCTGAAATAACAGACTTAAACGTTAGCCTTGAAATAAAGCAGATAAAAATATGTCAATGAAATATACCAAAGTTTGATAGGAACAAAAAATATTGAAACTATTGTTGGTGACTTTTCTGTCAATGAAGAAAATAAATATTTTAGATGGCAGTTGGTACAGTCCTTAAAAAATGGTACACGGCATAAACTCATTCCGAAAAATAACAATGAAATGTATGTAAGCTATAAAAGAATGATGGTACACAAGTTAAAGTTCCATTAGACAACAACTGCTACTTAAACTTATATGGAGACGAACAAAGAAATATTTAAGAGTTTATGAAATGGCAGATATGACATTGCCTGACCCAGCTCCAGCACCACATTATTATGACTATGGAGATGACGACAGAACACCACATGTAGATGAACAAAAGCTAACATTATATTTAGATTATTATAGATATAAAGATATAATGCAATAGAAAAAACGAGAATAGTATATTATTATACAGATGACAGAAATATATTATAGTCAAGATTTTACCTACCCTGAAAACATAAGATTATATTATAAAAAATTCTGACACAAACCAGAAGAAACCTGAAATAGTTGCATTATATTTTAAGTTCAAAAGAGACAATCCTATATATCTCATATGTTGATTTAATGAACCCAGTAGGTTCTATTTATACATCTATGGATGCAAGAGGTCCTCAAGTAATGTTTGGTGTTGGTGCATGGGAACAAATAGTCGACAGGTTTTTGTATTGTGCAAACTCTTCAAAGGAAACAGGTGGAAGTAAAACGATTTCAGGTGAAAATTTACCTGCACACAGTCATTACATAGATTTAAGTACATCTCAAGCAGGTTGGCATAAGCATAGATATTGGGATTGGTCAGGAATGACAAAAGGTAAAGGATATGATGTTAAGACGACGTTAAGTTTGCTATAAATTGTTACTGGGATGACACGCAGGGAGAAGGAAACCATACAC